TTTGTGTGCGTGTACCATCAAATCAGATCTGACTGGTACAGGAGGATATTGCGCCTCCTTCTCTGGCAGAGCATCTGGTGGATTTGAACCGTGTTCCTCTGGGATTGCAGTGCAGCTTCTTGCCACTAGGCCACCAGAGCTCCCCTAAAATTTTAATTCTTATATTTGCTGAAATGAGCACAAGTAGACACAAAAAACTACTGTGCATGCTTATTCCCCTATTCAATAGGTCTGCCACTCACAGAGCCAACCAACAGGTATGCTGATGGCAAAGGGTAATTTGTACCAGATTGTAAAGCCAAAGGTTCTCAGCTAAATATCAAGTATAAATGTATTTATAAAATCAGTAATTCACAGATCTCATCTAACAGTAAGATTTGCTTCTAATTAAAGAAAAACACTCAAATATTGGTATTAAGTAATATAATAGGCTAAAGATTAAAAAATAAATAAAGTTGTTGTTAAGTCCTGCAGAGTCAGAACTGACCCACAGTTGACTTTCCAGTGGGTTTTCAGAGGAGGTTAATTGCATGGGAGGAGACTGCCTATCCTTCTCCTAGTGAAATGATTTATGGCATGTTTTAATCACTGAAATAGAATAAAATTGCTTTAACACAAACTACAGTGCCAGTTACCAATAAACGCCCAAACAAGCCCTTTTCCATCCAGTCAATTTCAATTGAGAGTAACCCAAAATGACAAAGTGGAACTGTGCCATGTGGTTTCCAGGCTGTGTAATCTTTATGGAAGCTGACTGCTAATCTTTATCTCACAGAACAGTTGCAAGGTTTGAAATACTGACCTTCTGGTTGGCAGTTAAGCAAGCACTTAGCCACTGACTACCAGCGTGCACCTTAGGCATTAATACAAAGCATTTTGTAAACACGACTTCTAATTTACCTCCCTTCAGCCTGCTGAGCCACTGAGTTAATCCAAAGAAGATTTTTTCCAGCAATGCAAGATGACCAGACAGCAAGCCCCTGTATAGCTTCAGGACAGTGTAGTTCACACAGTGCTTCTACCACCATCATGATGGTCACTTCCAATTCATTTCCCTGAGAACAGCGTTCAGAAAACAAAACCTCAATACTATTTCCATGCAAATACCTCTAAATTTAGGGTGCATGACCAAAATAGAAATATTTTTCAGTACAGTAAAATGTATCTGACAATTGTTTTCAAAACAGTGATATTCTGTCAGCATAAAATTCTTAAAGTTGTTACATATGAAGTGGCCACAAACATGGCTAACAATACCTGGGTGTCAGTCTGTACCAATATTAAGGAAAAGGTTAGCCAAATATTTTACTTATAACACTTGCAGGAGTTACACAAGAAGAAACAATGCAAAAGTTACACATCAATGACATGAATTAAATGATGATTGACTTACCTACTGATATTGCCTTAACTGGTAAACATTTTACTATTTTTATATTCAACCATAAATATCTAATGAGAATCCTCTAACAAGATAAAAACTGAACACTGGTGAATTATAAAAATTATTTCCCTCATGACCAAATGCCTCAAAATAAACTTTAAAGTCACAGTTCTAGAGTAACAGAAATGCACATTCTGAATGTGTTCTAAATTATTATTATTAGGTGCCGCTGAGTCAAGTTCGACTTACAGCGACCATATGAACAAGAGACTGAATCCTGTCCAATTCTGTACCCTCATTATATGATACACTAATCTATTTCTGCAGTCACAGTGTCAATCCATCTCACTGGGAGATCTTCCTCTTTTCTGCCGACCCTTCACCTTTTGAAACATGAAATCCCTTTCCAAGGAACAGCCTCTCCTAGCAACATACAAAATACGTGAGGTGAAGTCACGCTATCCTTGCCTCTAAGGAGGCTGAGCTTTTTCTAAGACTTATCTGTTTGGTTTTTTCCAACTCAGTGCTCTAATTAATAAGTGACTTTGGTACTTGATGCTCTTAAAAAAATACTGGAATCAAAGCTCAGGAAACAAATGAAAGTTACAACTTATTCTGTGCACAGATTAAAACATACCAAGGAAATATTAAGCCAATTTTCTCCAACACTGAATACGGATCTCACACATAACACTTTACCTGAGAGAGACTATTTGTCTTCATTTCTGTAAGTAAGTCAAAGCCATGCCTCACTGTGACAGCAGGCTGGCCTGCCAACAATCCAACCCTCATGATAGAAAGTCGGATCCGAGTGAGCCAGTCTTGACAAGTCTGACGATTGGTATAGAAAAAAGTTCTAATGACCTATGGAGTAAAGGGAAAGAGGATCTCAGAACTGATTTTAGAGTCTCAAGTACCCACAATCCAAGCAGTAAGTCTACTGAGGTTTCAGCTCTGTACATGCTGTCAGATCTAACAATGTAAGCTACAAAGCCAACTTTCCCATGGAAACCAACCTTTGGGGGTGACGTTAACGCATTAGCACATCCCTCATATGCATTATACATTAATTTTTCCAGATTTTCTAGATATTGCAGAAGAAGAACAAGTCTAAGCTGGTTGCTACTGTGGCCTTCATCATTCTCTGCGGTTGTCCACTGACTGACATCCTGATCAGGGTTTAATGTGTGTGCTGCAAGGCTTCTAATGATACCTAAAAAGTAAAGGCAACATTCCACATTTTTTATAAGAAAAAATATTTAATTTTAATTCTTAATCTTAACTTTACACATTCACACAGATCAAGTATCCTGTTTATCCAACATTTTAGAACTTTTAAATGTTTTACTATAGCTAACATTAGAGATCTCTCACTTTAGGGAAAAAATAGGTTTTATTCTTTTTCCCAAGTAAATCCAAGTTTTAAAAGCAAACAAATACTCATATTGCTTCCAAAACAACTATTAATAAAATTTTGTTCAAACAAAAATGCCTAAGAGATTAGCTAGCAAAATGCTGAGAGAGAAAGGTTAACTTTCTTTGCTTTTAAAGTCAGAAATTCATAAATATTTTTCTTAATATATTAAGAAAGAATTTGCATCACCCAGTTTGTAAAAGCATAAAGCATCGATTACCTTCAATTGTCTGGAAGGTGTCTTGCGCTCTGCCCAGTGGGGTCCTCAGCTTAGAAAGAACAGTGAACTGTGCTGCCTCCCAAATGGCCCACTGCCACAGGACAGCATCTGTCTTCAGGAGATTGCGGGGAATCGTGGATTGGTCACGCTTATCCAGTCGCTGGCAGCTATAGAACAATCTTTCTAACCAATTGTCCTTCCTGGGGAAAGCAGTTTGGTATTTAACAGACAATAAGAACTTCATTTTACTAACTTTAAAAGAAAATGACAAAAGGGATGAAGGTGTAGGAAAGACTGTAATTTTTCCTACTCCAGAAAGGTAAAACCTATCAATCTTTGAAGTACTATATTCATTCTGAAAAACCTGCTGGGATGGGGCTCAGAGTAATTTGATTGTCAGGATAAAGTAACATTCACTAGAACCAATCATTATACCACTTCCTTTCCAAAGCACTGATTACTCTATCTGAACTTTATAAAGCAATCAAGTTATTACTTAATTTCACAGTTTATTTTTGCTTTTTCAGATGTCACCTTCTGAATTGTATTTCCTACTGCTGAAAACTAAAACCACCCATCCAAGTACAATGTTCATTTTCACTCCCCCATCCCCCACCTCCAGAGGTACTCCTCAATAATGGAGGTAGGGGTAAAGACAGTCAACTCAGAGAAAATAGTGTAAGAATGAATGAATGGAAATCCAAAATCCCTGTAAATGTTCATTAAAATTAGTAAAATTTTTTAAAAAAGACAGTCAAGTATACTTTAATTATTGTGCCCAAATGTAATAGTCAAAGAAATGTCTTACCCTGTTCTATGAGAATTGCCATACAAAATGAAACTAATAACATCAGAGAAATCTTGTGGATGAAATGTGTTACTTGGTGCTTTACTCATGTGACTTCTCAATGCCAAAGAAATTTCTTGAATTTCTGTGTGACTGTTATTACTGTAAACAGAAAGTAAAGATATCAATATGCAGAATATTGTATTTGAAAGGTTTACACATATTGAAAAGGGATGTTAGTCAAAAGGTTTATGCACATTGAAAATGGGTTATCTTCTTGCTAACTAACTTAGAAGGAAAAAATCATAAAAATATTAAGACTTTCAGATACAGAAATGGTATTATCACTTTAAGACTTTAAAATCTTAAATCTCTCAGGTCAACAGAATATAAAAACACATTTTCAATGACAGTTTAGTTTATTAGATATATGAACTACTTAGAAATAAAGAAATAAATTTTGATAGTAGATTATTCTGTCCTAAATCTCATAAAGTTAGCAAGCTTATTAAAAATGTAAAATTTTGTTTTTTCTGAAACTATGCAATTCCATCTGTGACAGGAAGCACCTTGTAAACTTCACTGTTGTTGCTGTTGTGCCTTCAAGTTGTCTAAGACTCACTCCTTGCCCTGATGTGCATCACCGAGACAAGCCAGCAACTCACTATAGGCCCTTCGTCTTTTCCTAAACTAGACAATTATTAGGCAATAAAAACACAGCAAGTATCTTTGCCCCCAAAACAGTTATACCTTAGGACAACATCTAGAGGAATTGACTTCAACAGTTTTCCAAATGCTTGTCGAATACGAGTTCCACTATGAACTAGTTGAACACGGCAAACATCTACACATCTAAAAAAAAGAAAAGGCAAAATAGCAATTATAGTAATTACTTCCAAGTTATCAGTGCCCTAGGGCCAAGGGGGATCTTTAGCACTTACCTGTGTAAAAGATCATCAGGCAAAGATGAGGACAGGGCATGTAGACTGCTGCATGCTTGCAGACAAATATTCACATCTTCCACCAGAGCTATTAAAAATTAAAGTCAACATCAAATGTGAGTTAAATATATAAAACTTGACCAAAGTAAATGATCTCATTAATACAAGGGAGAGAAAATGATATTTTTGGTAAATGCTATGAATTACACAACTTCATGACAATTTCTACATGGGAGTGTATGTTGGGCATGTATGTGGCAGTGGTACATAAACTGCAGAGATATAAAAGCTATGTAACATCTGCCCTAGCAGAACAGGGCAGAGGCCAACGTCAGAGCATAGCTTGCCTATAAGTATGTCTCAGAAGCTATCCTGATGGAAGAACTGTATCCTGAGTGTTTCAACCACTGTGGCCTGATAATTCCTTACTACACTCTGAAATCATCAGTATTATATGAGAGTTGTGTGCAGTCACTGCAAAAAGTTCTCAAACCCAGCAGAAAAGCAGAGCTCGGGGAGGTGTGGAACGTGATGTGGAACATGGTGAGACATGTCTTTCTACTGCTGCTGATGGAGATTCTTCCCCTCTGTGAGGTTAATATTCTTCCCCTTTGTTAACTGCCACCCCTATGCGCCCCACACTGTTTGAATAGGCCTGGAACAGGCAAAACAATTTTGAAAAAGAGGAGAGTAGTACAAGGGAAATGCATCAATCTAAAAATGTACTATAAAGTATAATCAAAATAGTAATTAAATATAGTGACATAAAAAACAACAACACAGAATTGAGAATTAAGAAGTTAACTTAGATATCTATGACTGTCTTTTGATAAGGGTTAAATGGTAAAATAATCATCTCTTTAATAAATGGTGCTGGGGTCAAGCTGGATCAGGATCTCACACCATCTATGCCAATTGACTCAAAGGGGAGCAATGACCTAAGCGTAAGAAGGAAAAGGGGTAAAACCTCACTTTTTTTAGATCTGACATCAAAAGTATAAGCAACACTCCTCCTGTACCAGTCAGATCCAATTTGACGGTACACACACAAAATAATAAAATAATAATTAAAAAAAATTTAATAAAAAAAAATGTATAAGCAACAAAGAAAAAGAAAGTGGACTTTATCAAATTGAAAAATTTGCCTCAAAAGACTTTAATCAGGTAGTAAAAAGACAACTAATATAATTAGAGGAAATATTTGGTAATGATGTATCTGGCTAAGGATGTGATATTCACAATACATTAAAAACTTTTGCAACTCAACAACAAAAAGACATAATAATTCAAGTTAAAAATACGCGAAGACCTAAGTACATAGTTCTCCAAAGAAAACATAAAACTGAACAACAGGTCCATGAAAATGTGTTCAATGTTATTAGTCATATGGGAAATACAAATCAAAACCACAGTGAGATGACTGCCTAACACTTCACACTCATTATCTTATCAAAAAATTAAAATAACAAATTTTGGCAAAGATCTAGAGAAACAGAAGCCCTCTCATGCATGCACTACTGGTAGAATGTAAAACGGGATTGCTGCTATGGGAAACATTCTGGGAGTTTCTCAAAAAAATTAAGCATAGAATTACCTGACCCAGCAATTCTATCAGGAATATACGCAAAAACTCGAAAACAAGGTCTCAAACAGATAATGGGAAGGGCAATGTTCACTGCAGCGTTATGCACAAAATCCAAAAGAGGAAATAATCCAAGTGCTCATCAACGGAGGAATAAACAAAGTATAAATAAATGGAATATTATTCAACCATAAGAAAAAAACGAAATTCTACTATACATACTACAAAACGAGTGAACTTTAGAAACATTATGCTGAATAAAGAGCCACAAAAGGACAAATACACAGTGATTTCCCATATATAAATATTTAGAAGAGCTAAAAGAGGGACAAAAGTTTATTAGCAGTAAACACAGGTTTGGGAGAATGTACTGTGAATTGCTGAAGGGATATTAAGTTTCTCTTTATGGAGATAATAAACTTTTGGAAATGGATAGTGATGATTATGTAACATGATAAATGTAATTCTTATGAATATTTAAAAATATTTAAATCAGTATTTATATGGACTTTAATTGTTATGTACCATTGAGTTGGAACTGACTCACTGCTCCATTGAGTTTTCAACTGCACAGGAGGAGACTGGCTACCTTTCCTTCTCAGAGCAGCTGGAGGATTTGAACCACATGCCTTTGGGATATGAAGTGCAACTCCTTAACCACTAAGCCACACAGCTTCATATAAAGATTTTAACAAAGTAAAATATTTTAAGCTAGAAAAAAGTATATGCAATGTACACACTTCTAGAAAAGCTTTACAGTAACTTTAAATAACTTATATATATAGCTATTTTTCAATAACACATGAATACATTTATAGAAAACTTTAAGAATCAGAATCTGACAAGATGACCATGTTTTTGCAGTTCTTAGATGTTCTTGATCTTTAACAGGGTGCACTTTCTCCATTTCATTTTAGTGGAAAATACCTGAGCTTTCCTACTCGGATGGGTTTCCACCTTACAAAGGTCGCAGTTCTCACAATCTCTATGGTACATGAATTATGCCTGTGCAAATGTATTTAGTATGTAAAGGGAGCTCTAATAGTCAAGTGGCAAGAAGCTGCACTGCAACCCTGAAGGCATGCAGTTCAAGGCCATCATCTGCTCTGTGGGAGAAGGATGGGGAAACCACCTCTGAAAACCCGCTGGTGGGTCAGCTATAGGTTGGTTCTGATGCAACAGTACACAGCAACAACCATGTTAAGACTAAAAATGATATAAAATAAGATTGGCTATGCATGTGTCATGAAAGTGGGGCTTACAGACTTCCCGACAGAAGGAAGTGCTCAAGACAGTCTCCCTTGCTCTGGTGGCCTAGTGGCAAGACACTGCACTGCAATCCCAGAGGTATGCAGTTCAAATCCACTAGATGTTCTGCTGGAGAAGGAGGGGGCAATCTCCTCCTGTACCAGTCAGATCTGATTTGACGGTACTCATAAAAATAATACAATAAAAATAAAAAAATTTTTAAATTTTTTTTTTTAAAAAAAAGACAGTCTCCCTCTCATTACTGAAGATCTATCTCCTTTTCAAGAATTGACTAGTAAAAGCCAAATCATAAAACCTTACTGTTGGCTAAAAGTCCTTTGCAAAATTTATGGAAAGACGGAAGAGAAAATAAAGGTGCATATGTTTCAGATTTTTTCATTAGAACAGCCACTTCCAATGCCCAGGTCATTAAGAGTTTCCTGCAACAAAATAAGTGAGTCTCAGTTAATAAATAAATAAAAACAACATAAAAAAAATCTTATTCTATTGACTTGTTTTCTTAAAAAAAAATCAGATCACAAATATTTTGAGTAGTAAGATACAAGCATTTTTACTAGAGAATTATTTTGCCAAAATGGTTACATGCCTTAAAAAAGAACAATTATAAAACCCTCCACAATCTCCTCAAACAAACATAAATCATAGTGAAGAACATTAAAACATTTGTCCAAATATATTTTTGCATTGGGGGCTGGGGGAAGGGACATAATTGTATGTGAAGACTTCTCTTGCCTATCTCTAGACACCAACCACATTTCTCACTCAGTTAGTATTACAAAAGCTAACTTAGTTACCTTGTATCCTGGTTAAGGTTATCTTTCTTAAGCAACATTCCCAGAAGATTTAATATTATCGAGAAATGCTTTTTGGTGGCTGTAGTTACAGTACTGATCACAGCTCCATCAAACAGAGAAGGCGATGAAGAACTAAGACTACTGGATATAAAGTGATCGTGCCTAAAAGACAAAGCATAGATCATCTCTTCTTTAAGGAAGAAGGAAAAAAGTAATCGCAAAGATGAACTAACATGTATTTTTTTAAAAAACAATTTGTATTTTGAACCGCCCCATCCTCCCAAAAAATAGTAAATTTCTTTTTTCTAAAGAAGTAGCTACCAATATGGTACCTGGTACAGTGAGAATACAATGTGTAGAGCACAGCATACTGAATGGCAGGGAAGTGGACGGCCAGGTCACCATGCACAATCATCAGATTCTTACTCAGAAGTGCAAACACCGTTGGAGACAGCGCCCACATCTGATGATGTACAAGAGAAAAGTAAACGCTTGGCTCCTCTCCATAGAGATGTACATAAGTTCACAAATAAAGAGTTTACCTTTTAAAAACAAACATTTCAACAACAACAATGACAAAACTGTCATTTTAAATTTGGAATCGCTATAGTAGAACAAGGGTTGGCAAATAGTTTGGGTTTTTAAAGACAAGTTAATAATATTTTAGGCTTTGAGGATCATATATCATCTGTCCCAGCATCACAAACTCCTCAATTCTATCATTAGAGTTAGAAAAATAAGACCCAAATGCAAACAAACGACAGAAACTGTGTTCCAATAAACTTATTGTTATGAATATACTAAAATTCTTGGATTTTTGTAGTTGTAAATTATTCCAATAAAAGTTGACTTTTAAGGAGGGATACATATGTTGACCCCTTTCCTAAATAAAAGGATCCCTGGTGGCATGGTCACTGGAGATTGGAGCTGTTAATCCAACTGCCGGCAGCTGAGACGCTCCAGGAAGATAGATGGGCAGTCTCCTGTAAAGATCTACAAGCTCAGAAACCCAAGGGAGGGTTGTAATGAGTTGGAGTCTCAGTGACAGTAGTCTGGGGCTTGGTTTTTTGTTTTTTGGTCTAAACAAAGCCCTTCTGATAGCAAAACCCATTTTCTCATTTTTCCCCGTACAGCTGATGACAACAGAGGTCCGTCCATGAGGAAGAGGCATATTCTGCCTACTTGAGTCAGTGCCATCTATGCCTTTTCTACCCTTGCAAATTTCTTACTACTGTTAAGATATTCTATCTCCCATGAGTGCCTCATCCCAAATCCCCTCCTAGTTTCCAGAGTGCAAGACATAAATTTCTTCCTCAAATCTGTACACTATGTGAATGTTTAGAAAAAGAAAAATCAAATAGAGCATATAAAATAGCTCTAACACAAAAGCTATAACTAGCAGAGGAGGAGCCACAATGGAGTAAAATGAAGCAACTTGGTGAAACATTAAGAACAAACACCAAACTTTGAATTCTCCCTCATTTGTCCCATACAAACTATGCATTTTCAAACTAATCCTGATCCAATGAGATAAAAAAATTGCAAAAATAGTAACTACAAATAAATGCAGAGTAACTTCAAGTTTCTTTTTTTTCTTTCATATTTTATTTTATTATTTTGTGTGTATACCGTCAAATTGGATCTGACAGGTAGAGGAGGAGACTGCCCCTCCTTCTCCAGCAGAGCATCTGGTGGATTTGAACTGCACACCTCTGGGATTGCAGTACAGCTTCTTGCCACTAGGCTACCAGAGCTCCCTACGTTTCTTAAAAGGGAGAAAAGAAACTCCGTAATTGTTTTCCAAAACAAAGTGTTAATGAATGCTCCTCTAGAAAAATGGAGTGTTCATAAAGACATCCAAGAGGAGAGACTGACCCAGTGACTGGAACAATGGCCTTGAGCATATCAGAGATTGTGGGATGGTACAGAATAGGTGCAGGTCTGTTGTTTACTGGGTTGCTACAGGATGTAGTCTACTTGATGGCCCCTAACAACAACAATAATATGCAAACTCACACTGTGGAGACTACTGAAAATGTTTCTATAAACAGGCTAAAGTAAATAGGAGCAGTGGAAACAAGATGTACATATTGGGTAGCAAGCAAAACACTGACAGTTCAAATCCACCTGCAACTCTTAGAGGGATAAAGACAGGTAAGATTTAGAGCTCCAGAAAACCCAACAGAGGGTCCAAGAGCCAGAACTGACTAGAGAACAGAGGATTCGGTTTGGTTTTAAAACACATAGAAACACTCATGAAAGACATTTTCTAGAAACTGAAATCAATAAGAATACAGCAGAACACAGTGGCAAGAAACTATTCCTTCTAATTGTACTCATCCAGGTATGTGCTAACATGTACATTATGCAACAGCATGCAGTGGGAAAACATAAAGTCATCACGAATAAAAACTCACCCCAATCAGTGAGTTTTTGGCATTTCCAATTGTAGTCAGGGCACTGAGGTCAAATATTACTACAAATTTTGCATTGTCTATGTTGAATACATGATTCTTAAAAGCCTCATGCTTTATTTCAGAGCAGGCATCAGGAAGTTGCAGACTATGTAACAAGTTGTTTAGGGCACAAGTCATTTCTCCTAAAATTAACTTATAGGCTGTCTCCAACACAGGGATATTCTTCAGGCCAAGCACTGCTTGATAAACAGCATGGGCTACAGCAACAACCTTAAAAGGAAAAAAAAAATCCAGGGAAACAAAAATCAAATGGAAAATAAAACATCTACAATTACACAGCAAAGAAAATGTATTTCCTTAGTAGTTACCATACCAACCAAATTAACAGCTATAAATTCACTGACTAGTATACTTGGCTGCAAATAGTGGGTGATCAAAACGGCTAACATTTTTTTTAATACTCTTTTCACTGATATTGTGATTTGAGTCAAAGTTTATGAAGCTAACCTTTAAAGGCATGTCTACCGTTTGGATAAAAACTGAGCCCAGAGGGTGAGTTTTATTGCAGGTTTAAGAGCAACTGTGGGCCAGGGTCTCTATAAGGCCAGTAAACTTAGATTTTTAAATTTTTTTTCCACATTATTTTTGTCAACTTTTTATACAAGCTTTTATAGTACTGGGTTCATACAGTATCTGTCCTTTGTGACTGGTTTATTTCATTCTGCATAACAGTTATCAAATGTATCAACAGTAGTTATCAAACACATGCACAGACAATAGTTTAAAGGTGTTTCCAAAACAAAGTGGAAAATCTACAGCAGATCTGACTAGGGAACAGTAGAGAAAGCACCTTTTTATGAAAATTTAATTAGTAAAAACTATGAACATTATTAAAAATTATTTGGCATATCGTTCTTCAACGTATCCATACTAGAAAACAACCAACAAATAAAAAAATACCAAAAAAAGCATTACAATTACTGTATTCTAAAGCCAAATATGTATCATTTCACACATATGGCCTTGTAAGCAACTCTAGTCAAACTCTTGACTCTAGACAAACTCTTCAAAGACCAACATGATTGCATTATTATCAATATATTACTTACCTCCTTTTCTTTATGATAACGCAAAAACAGTAGTTTAGATGATGGTATAAACAATTTTTCTACAAATGATGATGGCAGTTTTGTATTTATCTGTTCAACAATCTAAAAGAATAAGTAAAAAGTATTACATGTAAGTTATTTTTAATGCCTTATATCATGCTACTAAAATTTTTAAATAGAACAGACAAACCACCCCTGCAGCAAAAAAGGAGACAAAAGAGCTAACGGCCAGTCAACAATATGGAAAATGTGCATCATCATTCAATAAATAAAACAACTGCCATCAATGCACAGAACCACAACGAGATGCCACACTTCACAGTAACAAGGATGGCTACCATCATAAAACAAAAATTAAGAAGATATAACAAATGTTGACTAAGATGGGCAGAAATTGCAATCTATAAATGTTGAGATGCAAAATGGTGCTGATATTATAGAAAGCAGTTTGGCAGTGGCTCCAAACACTAAATACAGGACTGCCATATGACCCAGAAATTTCATTTCAGGATATAATTAAAAACTTGAAGGGTATTCAAACATTCATCTATCAGCATTCACTACAGCAGTGTCCCATCAATGGATAACCAAACAAGTTATATAAATACAATGGACAATTCGGACATAAAAAAGAAAGTTCTGATACACGCTACTGTATGAATGAATCTAGAAAACACTGTGATACATGAAATAAGCCAGACAGAAAAAGGTAACTATTGTATGATCCTATTTTGTGAAATATCTGTAACAGACAAAGACACAGAAAGAAAACAAATCTGTGATCACCACAGGCTGAGAGGTGGAGTTGTTGAGGGTGAGGGGTAAACAGAGAATTATTGCTTAATGAGGCGAGTCTTGGGAGGGGGAAATGGAGGATTATTACTTAATGGGTACAGAGTTTCTGTTTGGGGTAGTGAAAAATTTTACAAGAAAATAATGGTAATGATTGCATACCATTAATGATTAATGCCAGGAGATAGTATACTTGAAAATAGTTAAAATGGTAAAACATTTTACCAAAATTTCAGAAAAAAATTAGATATTTAAGGATACATGTGTTTACACTTAAAAATAGACATTTTTCACACTGGCAAAGAGAGGTATAACTCTGGCATAAGCACTCAGTAGAATGCCTAGAATTTGTTGTGAAATAATCCTCCTGGGAATGCAAGAACAGAAAGAAAGGAGGAGGCAGAGTGTCAGAGGGGAATGGATGACTCCAGATGGGCCATGTATTTTTTAGAATAAATGTCTATTTCTGGAAGCCAAGTATTAAACACGCAGAGATTTCTTATATTGTTGTCTTTGCTATATGCCCCAAAATGTCTATAATAAAAAACAGGGGGCAGGGAAAAGATGGCATGGCGTGTGTGACAGGTTTTTAAAGTTATAGGAATAAAGGAACAGCAAGTACATAGGAAGCTTCAAATAGGGCTTCTCAAAACTGCTATTAAAAAAACCTCCTTAAATAGTGTGTATAAAAAGTACAGAGAGTAAGCAAAAGCATATTACATTAAATAGAGCATAAGACTATTTATTGCACTCTAATAAGATGCAAAGTTCTTCATTATCTTCCACATCAATTTAATTTCAAGGACCTGAATAAGCCAACACACTGAAAGGCAAAGAAAAAGAACAATTCACATACCAATGTGAGCAAATTCAAGACTGAGATGATATAATCTGTACCACAAGTCTGGCAGTTCTCCAGCTGATCTAATCCATACGTAATGACCATGTCACAATGTATAGTCATACTAGGATCCAAGCTGCCGAGCAAAACACCAACACACTCATTAGCAGCTGTCAACACAGCCTCAGAAAAAAACACTTGGTTTGCAGCCGTCACACATCTCATTACTCTGTACAGAACCTGCAAATGGGGAAAACAAGACATTTTTTAAAATAATTTACATGCTTGCACAGAGAAAGAATGTATTTTGTATCTAATGCAGTTTCAACAGCAAAGTACACGCCTGCCTTGCCTGTAGTCTCTTAATATTCTAGTTCTCAGTAACTGACTAGTGGTAATTAGTACAATATACAAAATGATATTGACGAAAATGTTGCAAGGAACTACTGTGACAGGAATTGGAATCTGCCCTCTAGTTTCTATATACCCACATCCTTTCGCCACCAAAGTCACTAAACAGCTTATCATTCAGAATCTTTATAATCATGACATACCACAGAACTTGGACTAGTAACAGTATTAACAGCATGGGAACAGTCCACTAACACTACAATCTAGTTCTTAAGCTTTTAAAAATCACTATTAAACATGAAGTCATTTTCTTAAGTAAATTATTAAAGTTCATGAATATTAATTGTCCCTTGGAAAGAAAAATAGCTTTATTCTAAACACATTTGAAAATGATAGTAATTATGTCATTTTCAGCAACAGAAATATTACTGAATTGATCAGTGTTTATGATCAATGTTTCTATTTAAAAATAGCTTAGAAAAAAAAAACTAATGCTAAAAATAATATCTGTACTACGCAACCACTGCGTTACCATTTTGTTTTTATAAATAATTTGCAAAAGTCTAAAAAAGGCCTTCAGAAAGGAGTAGATCACACTTTCATAAATAATTATGAGGCTCATTTCCTTTTGTTTTATATTTGGATTAAGTGTCTATTTCAATACTGACACAACTTTTAAGCAGCCATCTTTTAAATAGTAAAAATGAAAAATACACATCATTTTGATTCAGTTTAAAATATCAGTATTCTGGTTTTAATAATCTTTACAATCTGACAAATCTGTTCAAACCCAATTAATTAGCTACCAAGAATTACACATGTAACATCCTGTATTCTGTCTACAAATGCTGACCTGAAGCAGTATAGCTAGCTCCTGGTTGAAATAAACAAATAATTACATATTTTAAAGAAGATCTGATGGCATAGTCTGAAGAGAGCTGCCCATCTCTAGCAAAGGGTATCCTCTAACAACTCCATTGGAGAAAAATGGGCTGATTCTTCACTATGTACAGCTCAAAAACTCAATGGAGGGTTGTTATCAATTGGAATCGACTACACGACACTGAATTTGACATTTTTAAAACATTTAAAATTTTTCTATCTTTTGATATCCAACCATCAAGCAGTTTCACTGTGTCATGCTCAAAGAAATTTACTTTTTTTTCCCTCAAGGAGGCTAAAAATTTAAAGGCAAAAATACCATTAAGAATAAGAACATGAGTAAAATTTCAGAGTAGCCTTTTTATCCTGAGGGGAGTGCAAGTGGGCTGGGAGACAATGTCTGTAAAATTCCCTACCTTCTTGGTTGTACCAGATACACATATACATACATGCATATACACACTAAACAAATGATAAATACCAACAGTTTAACTATTATCTAAAATAAAAAATAATTTTATCATTTGAAACTTGTAACACCCAACACCACTTACATCTGTTACATACGCCTCAGTAATGGGAGGACCTCGAATCGGGCTGAAACGCTCCCCAATGCTCCTGACCACAGTGCTGAACACCCGGAGAAGCGCGGCCAGCTTCGGTAAGGACACTGACGGAGGAGGAACATCCTCATCCACTGACTCCCCAGAGGCCACATGGCTGAGATCCTAGGTGTGAATTCAAGTAGGACATTAATTTTTAAAAAATAATCCACACACAGAAAAAAATAAGCTCCCAAATCTTAGTCAATTAACTTTGCATTAGATTTCTTAAAGAGGAATTTTAGCCTAGAGGAAGGGAACCATGCATCTAAATAAAAGAGATTCTTTTTCTTAATTATTTCAACAATAATAAGGCTAATTGTTTAAGGAAATAATTTTCTTTGCCTACCCAGACCTGTGTGAGAGATATAACAGGATTATGTGTGCATACATTTAGAGAAATAAGTATTATTATATATACTAGACAGTTCCATATAGGGATAAATTAATCAAAGCTGATTGTCATGCCTAAAGTAATCCATAACCAATATAAACCCACACATAATAATAAAAACAAAAGAAAATTAGAAGAAATCACATTTCCAAAAGCTAAGGTTGATCAGCTTTGAATTTAAGTTAGGGAGAATAATACACATTCTAGCTAAGGGGGGCAGTGGTGGGAGATGTAGAAATTAAAATGTTTCATCACCTTTCATTGAAAGAGGGCAAACATTAGCACTGTTAAAAAAATTAGTATTTGTGTTTGGAAGAAGTACCAAAAGTATGAAGGAAAGGAAAAGCTAAGTCCTTACTAAATCCTTGACCACCTAACAAAAATGGTAGATCAAGATCAACCAGGCTATGCAGTAGGGTCAAGAGGGATTAACAGAGACCACGAATAGAGGCTTCAGTCATCCCAAGAGACCACGTTGGTGGTATAGCAGTACAAGTCTTATGCTCCAAAGCATGACTCAAGATCTCCAATACATATCTGTGGGCAGTTTTTACACAAAAATCAACTGGTCTTACTGCTTCCAAATATACTTCAATTTTAGTAAGCAAGATTATGTTATCAACATTGTAATGGGTTGTGATTTAAGTGCAAGTTTGGAGAACAAATTTTATTTTCCAACCATTGATAAACATTTTGTATTATGATGTTTTTTAAAAAAATTTTTGGAGTGACAAAAATTATGAGAGAAAACACCTTCTGAAAACTGCTAGCTACCAAGAGAATTTTAAGCTTTACAAATCTTTAGAGTGATGACCTACTGCTGCTGGTTTTAAAACATTTTTTATGGGGATAACTCCCACATCTTGCAATAGTTTTCTATTGGACGCTTCAAGTTCAGGTCATCTAAGTTATTTTAAAATATCTCTACTGCATTCAAGACCTGCTTTTCTTCCCCTTCTATATATGTTTACCTCAGCATATGCCTCCATGTCCTCTAGAAACTGCCCAAGAAGAGTGGTCGAAAATGCAAGATCAGCTACCCAAAATGGTTCCAAACTCTGCAACCATCCTAGGAATCACACAAATTTTGAGGGAAAAGAAGGGGGGGAAAACCGACCACAAAATAAAATAAATAGATAAAAATTAAGTTGTCTTTAAAAGGTTAAATAGTTTAATTAAGTAATTAAGTAAGTAGTTAATGCCTACTCTTAAAAATGTCCTCCCATCAAAGAACTATTACTCTACTGGTCATGATTATTAACTATGGCATCTTTCATGCTGCAGAGATTACTATTCCCCAGAAGCTGAAATGTAAATCTTATCTTTCTTATTCTTTTGCAAATTAACAGCCACACTTGTAAGGTTAAAATGCCATCATCTACTACCAGCCTGACTTTCTAAACCTGGGTCACATCTAGCCTTTAAAGGAGTGCACTCATAGCCTCAGTGGAACTAACGTGTTCACTGTTGACAGCATAGCCCGTTTTCAAACATTTCTTGCTGCAAGTAAGCAAAACTAAACCCCCTGGGACATGGGATAAACTGAGATGTTGAAAATAGCTATGCTAGTCATTGAGTCATTATCTAGAAAGGAATTGGCAGATACAGAGGAATTTAAAGAAATAACATATGAGCAAGAGCCTATGGTGATGAAGGAAGAAGTTCAAG